TAATAATACTTGCAGAATAAAATAAATTCTTATTTATGTTAAGTTTTTGTAGGTATGGTTTAAAAAAATTGTATTTTGCATAAATATCCGCAGTCTAGTAATGACAGTATTTTAATCATATTTTCATAAATAATTATCTGCTTCTCTTTCCTAAAAGTAGAATAAATGCCTTGCAACTGTTAAATCCATAAAATTATTTATTTTCTTTGCACTATCCCTTTCAGTTACTTAATTCACAGCAGTCATCCAACATAAAAGAAATTTTAATTTCACTCCTAGGAAATAAATTTGTTTAAAAAAAATAACAGACCGTGCAAATTTTCTGCATGGAAATTCTAAAAAGTGTGTAGTTTGACGAGTTAATTTGTTCTCTGGATAATGGTGAGAGCACGTTTTCAATTCAGAGGGTCGACTCGCGGTGGCCGCGACTACTTAAGCAGCTAATCGACGAAGCAGTCTACTCGAAGCTCCTTGTTTCTCGGTACACAGAGCCGTTCGCGGTGTAAAGTAAGATCGAATTAACTTAATGGACGAGACGTGCGGGCGTCGCGACGCACCCACGGTAAATATTGGCGAAAGACGACAAGACGCGCGCCTCGTTAGCTCGCATTTTCCCTGGCCCCGAAGAAAAATGCGGTCGCGGTTCAATTGTACCGGAAACCAAAAGTTATAAATAAGTTTCGACGTACTGCGAAGGAACAAGGCCAAGGGGCCACTGTGTGCATCACCTGAGCAAATCTCGGGGCTACCAGTTTCCGACCAAACTTTCCTACTCGAGCTTCGACAAGGGACGAAGCGGTTGCTGCTTGATTCCCAAGACGTTCAACTACCGATTTTGGGGAATTTTTCACGCGTGATCTACATACCGTGGTAGACTGCAATTTGGATATGTGAATGTCAAACTTTGAAGAGTATACTGTAAAATTTGTGTTGGAAAATATTGGTCAATAACGCCGTATCAACTTTTTTCGTGGGTAGTTGTTTCACGAAATTTTAGACGAGTTAATTTAAACAAAATTTGTTTTAATAAAATCTGAGGTAGAAATTGGAAGAATTGACAATGTTGTGGAAGTTTCTAGGTGATATGCTTGCAGGGAGTTGCGATAGGTTGGTGCGCTGATCCTCATTGAAGCCTTAAAGCCATCTTTCTCGAAACTACTTTCACCTGGCTTAGAGAACTGGTATCCCATAGACGAAATTTTTAAAGCTTGTAGAGAACATGCATGTTAGTTCATGGAACTAAAATTATAACAATAACTATTACAGTTTCTTTTTACTATTAATAGAAATGGGCGATAATATATCACTTCTTTCAATTTCAAAATATTTTCAATTTAATATTTAAAATTTTAAGCGTAGGTCCAAGTTGAATATTTCAGCTTCAGTACCATTCATTCTTTAATCGTGCCCATAATTATGAAAGTGGTCTAAGTCACATATTTCTTGAAACAAAAATTACATTGAATTAGTTTAGTTTAAAATAATGTGGTGTGAAGTAACTGATAAACTCATTTCTTTTTTTAAATTTTGACTTAGACCACTTTCATAATTATGGACTTAATTGTTCTATACTATCTAATACCAACACTTTATGTTTTACTTCCATATACGCTCACAAAAAGAAATTACTTCTTTACGCCTGTTATCAACAAATATTTAACCAAACAATTCGAACCAAAATCGCCATTTTGGATATACCAGTTGTTTGTGCTCCAAATTCACATAAAAAAAACACGTGGTTCGTTGACAAAAACAAGCCACCCCCGTCCCATTTATATTTCAAATTGGCGAGTTTGCAGCCAATAAATTTCACAGACACCCGCGACTCCGCGAGAAAATAAAGTCCCCCGTTTTTCGTGCACAATCGAACTGCGTATTTACACGCACACGCGTGTCTGCGTTATGCACGTTAATCGCATATTAACGGCGCCATAAAACTTGCAAAGGTAAACTTGAAAATTTTGCGTTTCACGGACGTGAATGCACGATTGAGCGGACGAAAAATATTTTTCTACGTCCACCGTTTCCGGGGGAATTGGTATTTTGTTTGCGAGCCCATGTTGCGACGCTGTCGCATTTCTGAAAATTAGCGCGTCGAAATTGGTCCGGTAATCGAGTCGGTTGTTTTTGCAATTGGCTGATACGGGCGACGATCACTTCGCGCGTCTGATCAGTGACTGACCTCTACTCCTAATGGAACCAGCTACGTAGTTTTAAAGTCTTCATGCTGTAGACTATTAAAAAAAAAATAATTCGTAGATTATCCTCATCTTTTACAGACTGCATAGCTTGCTTATTAGTCTAAGTAGGACACCTATTATTAACTCAAATTGCAATTAAAAGGATTGTTACACCTTTGCTGATTATTTTAACGGTCATGGTATCACTGTCCTTCGATAATTCACAAACGTGGGCGAGAAATTTTCATCAACATCAGGCACGTTATTCGACGCCTACGACAAATATTTGCGAGCAATGAGCTGTTCCAATATGTATATTCCAACCTCATATTATTTTTATGAATTATTCACGAGGTGTTTCGCTAATGTTTTCCCACCACAAATAATATACCGCGCGAGAAGGGAGTTCGTGTCGCGGGTACCCTCGCACGGTGAACATTTTTATCTTGTCCACGTATCGATTGTTTAATTCCTAAAAGGTTACGAGCGCGGGTATTTTCGGTTAACGAACGTGGAAGCTTAAAAAGTCGACGTCATTTGTTTGCGCTATCCCGCGTGCTCTCTCTGTGTAACAAGCGGCCGCCATTTTCGTTTGTTTGCGCACAGTTGCTCGTTACGAAATTATGCCGCGCGGATATAATTTAACCATAATAAATTTAATCAAGTATAATAAGCGCGCACCGGCGAGGGCTGTCCATTATTGTTAATCAATCCGAAGATTACAACGCGGTTCAATTAATGTGAAACGAAGTTTCATTCGGTCAAAGTAAATTGTGTCGAGCTTTAATGGAGGGACGAGAAGGGGGTTCGATGCGAAAATATCATCCTGCCGCGTTATCGAGATGACTTCGCAATCGTTATAAATCTTAAAGTGAGACTTCGGGCTCCCCAGATTATGGCTATATCGTTTCTTGTTTAATTAAAATCGCTGCTCGAGTGGCATCGTTTAATTTACTCGAGTCTGAATATTCAATTTATAATTCCTCTCGATGTGTTTGCATCTTTTTTCTCAACTTAATATTTCTTGGTGCGATACAGATACATTTTATTATTTGGACGTATTACTTTGATACCATTTTATAAATTAATTATAGCATCCTATATCACTCGATATTAATTATAAATTATCTCTATATTTTTACCATATTATTATATCTTCTCAAATGACCATTTTAATAATTGTTAGACAATAATAATTGTTAGACATTTGTGCGACAGCCGCCAGTTTCCACTAATTTTTATACCTCCAGCGTCGCGTACCCTGCGACCTTACGTGTTTCTGTAACTAATTTGCGTAATTGACTTTATAGCGGTGTCTGCGATGCACTATGCTCGATTAAATGTGAACCTGAAATCGCACGCGGGTGGACGTAAAACACAAGAGTGGATGGAGTGAGGTTTGGCAGGCGAAGCTCGCGAAGTTTCGCGCGTAGCGCGAAATATGGCGCATCGGAAGCGATACCGACGCAGCGCAAAAATTACGCTTTCCCAAGAGATGAACGGTTCCGGGGGCCGCTTGGCGCCAACTTTCCTCAAATCGAATGAGGTACGGTTCACTTAACAAATTGGATTTTTAACCGAACTGAATTTTTCACGAGCAAATCACTCGTCGTTTGGTGTTTCGATTCGAACAACAGTCTCCTACCAACAACGACAAAAGATCGAACTTCGTTTTGGATGCGAAAGCAGTACTTTACGTGTACTTTCTACATGTGTGCAATAGCAATTTAATACAGAAATACATTGATTTTCCTATTTTATCATTTTTACTGATTTTTTAATTTCAGGTATTACACCGAAAATGGATTAAACGTGTTGGGAGGTGAGGATAAAATTATTCGATTTCCAAAAAAATAGAGTGAGAAGCCTGTATTTTTAGAACGCGATCTATAGATCAGCTTTGTTTATACAAATTATAACAAATAAATTCACATGCATAAAGAATTTAGGTTAGGTATTTTAAATTAAAATATATTAAAAAGTAATTTAAAATGTCCTATTATGAAATGGCATTGGTCGAATTTATTATTAATACCCAAGTATATATCCGATAGAATTATTCCTCGATCTGCTTGACTATGCATCTGGACCAGTGTTGACCATCATAATTACGATTACGATTGTAATCAAATGTTTCTAATTTTCTGAGTTTCCGAGTTTACGATTGTAATTGTAATCGTAATCACGAATTTTTCTGTGATTAATCATATTTTTAACAATCATATTTTTAGGGGTTTTCAGTCATAACAATTTTTTACCTCAAAACCGACTTCAGATTCGTGTTCCTCACCTCACAAAACTTAGAAAACCATGCTATCGTCAAAATCGAAAATTTTTAAAAATTACCCTATCTTGTTCGTACCCTATTGGCATCTATTATTTTAACTGAAAATATTTAATTTTTTATTTTCACGAAACTATGGTTTTCTAAGTTTGTTGAGGGGAGGAACACGAATCCGAAGTCGGTTTTGAGATAAAAAATGTCTATGATTGAAAATCCTTAAGAATACGATTGAAATCACAGATAAATTTGTGATTATGATTGTAATCGTAATCGTAATCACAACATTATGCCCAACACTGACCTGGGCCATCCCTATAAAAAAGTTTAAAATAAAACAACCCATCTAACCTTAAATTACGATACCACTTTCTCCTCATTCTCGTCTTCCAAGTAGCCTTTCCATAGTTTCTATCAATTTAATTAAAAAAATGGCCGGCCTGGTAGCTTCGCATAGGGTATATTCCCTAATGGATGCCAGCCGACCACCGCCTACTTAAACATTAATCGAATTAGCTTCTGAGAGGAATTCCGCTCACCATGCACTCGCCAGCGATGCAAACGTCCGTGCCCTCGGTGTAACATTTGGTGCCATCCTTGACTTTGTCCGCGAGTTGGACCACGATGGTCTCGTCGCTGTCGAGCTGCAGAGCCTCGGTGGCCTCGCCAGGAAGTATTTTCTCGACGGACGTTTCCTCTCTGAGTTGGTCCCCAGTGTCCTCCAGGGACTGCTCCCCGCGACAGATCAAAGCGCACGGTCTCGATGGATCGTAATGCGGATACCACTTGAGCAGTTGTCCGCTGTAAGGAACATCATCGAACTCCGCGCATTGCTCTGCACGGAAATCGGTTGGTTTCTCGCAGGGCTGAAATCAGAACGGTGAATTTTGCGGTGAGAAGACGTTCTTGGACAGTGGAATCATATTTTTGGGTGGATTCCAGTAGAAATAGCGGAGTAGGATTCTTTTCAACGTGAGTATAGTATGGCGGAATCGATTATAAAATTTAGATGATGAAGAGGGAATTGAATCATACTGTCTTGCTATTATAAATTTACACGATAAAAACCTATCGAGGTTTCATTTGTACTATATTTCTACGTGATGGGACAAATGATTAGTCTTAAAGACACTTTTTTCAATTAAATGTTAAAATATTGCACGTGTTACTAAATTTAATGCTGGAACAATTATATATAATTCATATATTGCAAACAGGAACTGATAAAAAAGTTTGTAAACAGTCATTTGATCGATCGTGGTACGTTTAGATTTAGTACGTGAATCGTACCTTCAAGTGTTATGAAAAAATATGATCACACTTTTAAATACAACAAATTTGTTTAGTTGTTTGATTAAATATAAACAGAATCTGACACGAACCAATGACCCAATATTACATTGCAAGCTTGCAATAATTTTTGCGCGTGTTAGAATACGACAGAAAAATTCCGTGGATGATCACAACGAGATTAGTTAGTTTTTATACGCAACACTTTTCCACGAAGCACTAGAAATACTTAATCACCCAAGTTCGGAGTTTTCCATATTTTAACTAGACTTTAATCCCCTCATCTCTGACCTGGAAGTTCTAATTACTTGTAACAGAATATTCCGGTGTAATTTCGTATTATGATAACGTAGCACGGTTTTAACAATTTCGGAATTATTTCGCCAGACACGCGCCAGCGATGTATCGCTATTATTTCCGTTTTAGTTATCCGTAAGCTGTTAAACGAAGCGTGGACGGCTCGGGAATGGATCGGATTTTCCACAGGGCCGAAAGCAAAGGCGCAGATTTCGTCGGAGCAGATCATTAACCAATTAGGTCGCGCCATTATCGATATTTAAAGATGTCCACTTTCGTAATCGCGTTTATTAATGTACCGTTTAAGTGAATAAAACGATAAAATGCTGATGGCGTACAACGTCGGAACGGACTTTGTTTTCCGCGTGTAATTTGCGGCTCGCCTGTAATTTAACCGCGAAATTATTTAATTGGAACGATATACGTACGTGTTTCCGCTAAATTACTCGCGTGCCTCTTTCGCCTTTTCGGAAACACTCTATTCTGCATCGTTTCATCGTTTCATGCCCGATCGCTTCGTTATTTCTCTGATATTTTCGCGTTAATGATACTTGGCACTGGACGATTAAATTATTATGATTAAGTGAAAATTATAGGTACATATTTTATACGTGTAATAAATGTATGTTTTATGCTGTTAGGTGTATTATGAGTACCAATGATAATATATTTGTTTTTGGTCTTGAGGTATCGATGAACAACTTGAGTGGGTTTTAATAATAATAACAATAATAAAGGAAAAAGGGACAAAATATAAAAAATTGAGAGTATAATCGCTCTAATTCATATATTCGAAATGAAAAGTTTATGGCCATCATTCTGATAATTGTTCCATCATTAAATTTAGTAATACGTGAATTATTTTAACATTTAATTGAAAAAGTGTCTTTAAAACTAATCATTTGTCTGATCACGTAGAAATGTAATACAAATGAAACGTCGATAGGTTTTTATCGTGTTAATTTAAATAGCAGGACAGCAGGATGACTCCATTCCCTCTTGAAACCAATTAAATAATATCACTTCATTCCTAATTGATCGGGCCATTCTATACAGAGCAAACGGAAATTAGTTTGCGTTATTTATAATGTTAGCACTACCGAATTGGCCTGCATTCGCGATCAAAGTAATTCGTAAAATTATATTAAAACCGTGATCGCTTTATTTACGTTTCGACTGCGATTCGCCTCTGACTGCAATTTAATACCGAAGTCCGTTGATTCCACTTTATAATTTTCATTCATTTTTCAGTTTCATGTAAATCAGGTTTTCTGATTTGAAAGCTTCTCTTGTTCGACGTTTTTTCTTTGTTCAAAAACAGTTCGCTTTATACGTGCAATTTCTATGATACGTGAATTTTCTTGAATTGCGATCGCAGGAGAAACAAATTTAGAATACCATGCGTCATTCTGATTAGGAACACACGGAAAATAGAGAAATGGGATTAAACAGATAGATGTCCTGTTTGCGGTTCCAGATATTCGATCGTTTACAGTTCGCGGAAGCGAGTCAGTCAACAAACTAAAATCGAACCGGTGGCCGCTAATTATCGATGTAATTAACGGTTTCGTAATTAGATCAGATATGACCTGGGGGCATATCGATTGTACGTTTTTCCCGTCGTTCTGAGTTTACCCTCTATCGACTGAACGCCCTAGAATTTAAATTGAACAAATTGGAGGATAATCAACAGCCTCGTTAATTTTTCCAGTTATCCGAATATGGGACCCGGTAAATTTCAAACGAACCGAAAGAGATCCGATTAACCGCGCGACCTTAAAAAATAATTTTCACAGTAACGCAGATTAACGACCAAAATTGTTTGGACATTATCCGATTCTCGTTATCCTAGAGATTAACAATTTAATAAAAGGGAACTTGATTCGAACTGATCTTAATTTCATTCTTCGTTCAATTGCATTTATCGCTGAGCTTCTTGCCAAGTTTTCTTTAACTCTGATTTGCTCTATTTATATTAAATTTCGAATATTCTACAATATTAAAACAAAATTCTATTTTTTAGCCTTTGATAGCTTCGTCAAGTAAAAAATGATAAAAGTTTCAGTCCCATCTCTATATTTCTTGTTATCGTTTTTGCTACCATCTATCTATTCATCAGTTCACTTTCTCCATTAATCGTCGACTTTCTTATACCATTTCCCGAATCTTCCCTTTTTCTTGCTGGATTACGTCGATCGACGAGAATTCCACGCTACTATGACTCCAATTTCGAACGATTAGTTTAAAGTTTATTTTTCACTCGAAATCCCCCAGGCTGACGCAATTTAATAAATATTTCAAGTTCTTAGTTAAACGTTACAACTAAAGAAGACTCCAGGGGTAGGTCTTCGAAATTTAAATGAATTTTGCACAATGTGTACTGACGTCGAATTAACAAAATCATGACGAAGTCATTGGTCGCGTTCGCGGATACAACGGATCGCGCGTCTCCAGGTTTAATCCCATTAGAGACTATCGAATCCTCTCGGGATACAATCAAATTATCCACCGATAGATCCCAACAGAGCGAGAAGTTTCATAGGTTCGAGGCACAGAGTCGTGCTGCAAATTCGTGCATGGGGAAACTTGGATCAATAGACGAAGTTAAAACACGGTCCATTCGTGTAAATATTAATTAACCGTGAACCTCTTGGGATTAGTGTACGAAATGACGAAACTTGTATCGTTGTATTCTTTGTCTTTGCAATCATAATAATATATGTTACAATTAGGTTTCGTTTCTTAATAAATGGGAGTACAATATTTTGGAAATATAAACGTTGAAATTAGGTAACACAGTGTAGAATATTCATTGATTGAATCAATCTTCATGCGTTACAATACATGAACCAGGTGTTATATGTGAGATAAAAGCTGTAAAAAAAATAAAATAAAACTAACAGTCATATCACCGATTGATCTAAAAAATGTGAGTGTGCCCCAAATTAAGGGGTTAGTCGCAATTAGGAATATGAAACAGAACACTTTTTTGTGTGTTGTTTTAGGTATTAAGTAATCATTTCTATTAATGAAATTTAAATATATTACAAAGTATGTCGTAAAGAATTATAAAAAAATTTGTGTATAGTTATTTAAGACACACTTTGTGATACATTTAAATTTCATTATTAAAAATTATTATTTAATATCTAAAAAAAAACACAAAAAAGTGTCCTTTTTCATCTTCCTGATTGCGACTAACCCCTTAGACATCTACACATTAATATGCAACTGTCAACCGCAATATAACATTAAAATCTCACGCAATAAATTGTTTCTTTCTATCTCTCAGATTTTTGGATCCAGCCTAAATAGTTTCCACGGAATGTCCGTACTCGTTCAACTATTTCATTCAATTCTCAGCGTTTCGATTGCATCGTTAACGGTACGCGATGGTAACAGTGGCGAAATGTTTGTTTTTAATGTATGCAACGGCGCCGCGATAGCGCAAATGAGACGGTTCGTTGGGAACGGATCCGGCGTAAATTAAATAACACGAAAAAACACGGACAAAGTACGCGATCGGGCGCTGGGATTAAAAAAAATATTGCCGCTGGCAATCTCTCGATCCCTCGTTCGGTCGGGAACGTTATGAGCCATCGATTTCATAAACATCCGCCACCCTCTGTCGCGTTCGCTCGCTGGGCGTCGATATCGATGGCGTGACAAAACGTATTACGAGAAACGTATCGCCCGATTTTCGTCCTGCGCCAATAAACGTTCCGCTGCTAACATCTAAATGAGTTATACGTGCAGCTCTCGCGAAACCGATGGCTTGGGATTTTTAAAACGAAACTTGAGTTGGATTGGTTGTGCGACGAAAATACGTAAATTGAGAGATAGGAAATATTTTAGAGTAATACGATTAAGGATTTAAGCATATAGACATGGACGATGGGGGATGGAGTTAAATAATAATTTGTTTATTTAGATTCAACGAAATGCTGCCTTCCTTTTCTCTCCTCTCTCGCTCTCCCTTCGTAGGAACCGCCACCGCAAACTTGTTTCACTTTATAACTATGACATACAATCTCCTCCCATCGCCTATCTACTTGCGTGAGAATAATGTTCTCTAAAGACCCTACATTCAGAAATTTATTCTTCACATTTACACGTACAAAAGAGATTGGGAAAAAGCTCTAAATTATCATTTCTACCTCGCATTCACTCAATTTTCGCCACCCTCCCTATAAAAACCGCTCCCAAAAAACAGTGGCGAACTCTGTGAACGGTAATTATGAGCTTCCACGGAAAACACGCAGCCGGGGGAAGCCGAGCG